ATACAGATTCCGTCCAACAACCTGTCAATGGCGCGCGACGCCAGCGCCTCTGGTGGCGGATTTTGGAAGTTTTGAGACCGAATCCCCATAAGACATCTACTGGAGTTCTCTTAGGAAACTTAATATAATTAAGTCCTCTATAAATACTCTTCCAGATAGCTTCAATGACGCAGATGAAATAAATTCACATTTCTCAAATATTCCGATCATAACCAAGACACAAAAGCAATTAGAACTACTGAACAAATATCAAAACAATAAGTTTCCCAAGTAATTCTGTTTCCAACAGGTTGCCAAAGAATCTGTTGTGAAGAGTTTCTCATTTATTAAAACTAATGCTGTAGGGGCTGATGGAATCTCACTCATTATGATAAAATACATTTTCACTTTGCTCTTAGACCATATTACATTTATAATCAATCACGCAATATCAACATCCTGGTTCCCTGATGCTTGGAAGCAGGCTATCATCATACCTATTCCTAAAGTAGCGATTCCCACGTCTGTAACGCAACTTAGACCAGTCAGCTTACTTCCCGCATTTTCGAAGCTTTTGGAACGGGAAATGAAGATACAAATATCTCAGTATGTTTTCAGTATTGAAATAGTTCCATCAATGCAGTCCGGATTCAGGGAAAACCATAGTACAACAACTGCTCTAGCCAATGTCATTGATGATGTTATAAGAGGCCTTGATCAAGGAAATATCACTTGTTTAGTTCTGCTGGATTACACAAAAGCTTTCGATATGATAGACTCTGAAATTCTGCTACTTAAGCTGTCTTACTATGGTTTTACCGATGCTGCAGTCAATTTGATAAGCTGCTATTTGTCAAATAGAAATCAAACGGTCTTAACGGCTTCGAAAATCTCACAGTCAACTGCTATAAGTTTTGGTGTTCCTCAAGGTTCCATACTGGGACCTTTACTTTTCTCTCTATATATATATCGGATTTCCATCAATATGTCCATAATTGCACAATCCATCACTATGCTGATGATACTCAAATTTATTTTAGTTTCCAACACAAAGATTTTAAAATTGCAGAAGCATTGCTCAACGAAGACTTAACAAGGCTAGCAGACATCTCGTGCTCGCATAACCTAAAAATTAATCCATCTAAATCTTCAGTTATGGTTTTCGGCTCAAAAAACAAAAGAACATTGATCGAAACGGAAATTAACCTTAAAATCTATGATTGCCGGCTTCCTATAATGAATGAGTGTAAAAACCTGGGACTCTGGATTGACACAGAACTAAAATTCAAAAAACACGTAAATTCGTTATGTAGTGCATCATACTGCATTTTGAAACAGTTTTATCCCCATATGCAAATAATATCTACTTCAGTAAAGCTGAAACTGTGTGAAACATTAATTATATCAAAGATCAGTTATTGTGACAGTATATATGGCGCAGCTCTATCATATAGTGAACAAAGCAAATTACAGCGTATTCAGAATTCGTGCATCAGATTTTCTTGCGGAATACGAAAGTTTGATCATATTTCTCATAAATATGGGGAACTTGGTATTCTGCAGATTAAAGGCATGCAAAAGCTTCACTTATTGACACTCACACATAAGGTCTTAGCTACCAAACAACCAACATATTTGCATAATAAGTTAACACGATGTAGTGACATAAATCAACTGAATACAAGGAATAGGAATATGTTAGTGATACCCTTACATTCTAAGGCTGTCTACAAAACATCATTCAGCTACAATGCTATTAAATTATATAATGATCTGCCTGTTACATTCCAAAACTATACGTTATTTAATTTTAAAAAGAGGCTTAAACTAAAACTACAAGTCGAGGTCTGATGATGAGTACAAAATGCTAGAAATATGGACTGTTCTTGTAATTGTTCTGTGTTGTTAATTATTTAGTAATTATTGAGAATTATGGATACATTTTTGTTGGTAGAATGTTTTATTATATATATATTTTTTTTTTGTTAAGGTTAAGGTTAAGTTGAAAAACGCGACACTTCGCCTTTTTTGTACTTTTACTTAGGTACGAAATAAAGCCCATTTATTATTATTATTATACTTTAGCTTTCTAGCCAATAACCTACCAGAACTTTTAGAACAGACCTTAGACAACATGCCATTACAACGGAGACAGAATTTGTGGTTTCTTCATGACGGAGCACCACCACACATTTTTAGAGGCGTCATTCAGTATTTGAATGAACATTCTCCAAATCGCTGGATCGGTCGAAATGATCCTGATCCTCGAAAATGGCCAGCAAGATCTCCTGACCTCAATCCGATGGATTTCTGGTATTGGGGAGAACTTAAAGGGATGGTTTATGGAGCTGGTCCAATAACAACTGAAGCACAACTTCGCGAAAACAATTTTAATCGAGCTGAAATAATAAATG